GTCATGGCCTGTCACTTTCCAGGATGGAATTATCATCCAGGGCCAGCGTTCTCTTTCAGGTGGAATGGCCTACTTTAAAACCTAAACTGCCCTCCTTCTGCTTCACAGCATGCTGACTGCACTGCGTATATATCATTTACATAGCATTTGAGGGGAGAATAATTAAAAACACAAAGTACTGTGAATTTTGAAATCAGGAGGGCAGTATTTGTTTGAAATGGATGCAATTAAAGCAATTTCCTCATCCTGCACTGTAGCAGGAGGCCCAGGAGGGGCAGCCGAGCCAACCACAGAGCATCCTGACGCTCTGGTCCCCACACTACACGAAAGGTTCGGGGTGGTGGCACAGGTATCCCTGTCACTTAGGAATGGGTTCCCAATTAACAGCCAGAAATAAATAACAAAGTTTAATATGTATCACCAGTAGTAATAACAATTAAGAACTAGTAATAACAACAACAATACTCAATTAGTAACTATACTTTCAAACTCTATGTAACATGGAACAAGAATAATTACAATATTTACAGGTACCTACATATATATACAAGCTCAAACCAGTAAGGGAAAAGGTGCCTGGTGGTTACACCAGAAGGTATGGTGGGGGGGGACACAAGCAGGCCATGCCCAGAGTGGGGGTGCTGCTTCAAGCCCAGGGGTTCCTCAGCAGGCCACAGCAGGCACAGTGTGCCACCACCATGCACGCTCCACACTTCAGTCAGCGTGCTGCTTCAATTACTACTCCCCAGGGTGGGTATACTCACATGTCCACTGATGTTAGGAGCCGGGGGGTTCCCCAGCTGCCGGACCCAGCGTCCAGGGTCAGGGGGCACAGCGCTGCTGGCTGTCCTGCAGCCTGCTGGGGACAAGATCTTCACTCGGCCGCAGGGGGAGAGGGAGGAGCCTTGGAAAGCATGCTGGCTGTCCTGCAGCCTGCTGGGGAGGAGATCTTCACTTGGTGGGGATAGCCTTGGAAAATGCTGCTGAGGCATCTTCTTCCCCAGCAGCTTCAATGAATTCAGCTCTCTTGCTCCTCTCTTCTGCCACACTGACTAAACTCCTGTGGCTGCCCGTGTGGAGCCTTGAAAAAGGCTGCCGAGGCTCCTTCTTCCAAAGTCACTTCAGCGACTTCAGCTCCTCTTCTTGTCTCCTCCACTGTCATCACCCCAAATAAGCCCCTGCTAGGCTCACATGTGCCTCCTTTTATCCCTATCCGGCTTCAGGCCCGCAGGCAAGCGATTGGTCAGATGTGTCTAGACGCCCCCGCTCTCAGTGGTCCGTTTTCGATCCCCAGTTATAAGGCAGACCCGTTTGCAGACTGCCGTGCAGACCCCCCTTCCTTCTGGAATCGTCTTCCTGACCGACAGAAGTGACAGATCCGGGCTGTAGGGCGCGTGTCAGCCCTCCACCGATGACTTTAAATGGTGGCAGTGGGAGATTTCCGCCGGCTCACCGGGGGTCACAAAAAGGACAGGGCGATTGGCACCTTGTACCTGCTGTCCAATAAAACCCAGTTTCCTAACTTTTCCCCTAAACCAAACCTTCCACGACACTCCACTCACTGACCGCGGTCACAAGAGTGGGTAGGAGATAAACATCTTAACATATCAAACGAGCAACAGCGGAACGCCCTTTGAATTCAGAGGATTTAAGGGACCTCAGGGAGAACGCTCAGGGGCTGCATGGTCTCTCAGAGGGGTTCTTCCTTCGCCTCCTGGGGTACACAACAACCACGTGTATCTGCTTCCCTTAACACAACATTCACGTTTACAGGGGGCTTGGTTATTGTTCTTATTACACACCTTATTAAGATACAAAGTGACACCACCACGACACTGACAGAGAAGATGCATTGTAGTGGACTTGGTAACCATCCTGACATTGGTAAGCCGAGGGAACGAAACAATTTGCGCTTCAGGGCTAACTCCTGCCCTAAGGCCCGTAGCTGGCTGGCGCTCAGGCAGAATGTTCCGGAAGGAAGGCGGGGCTGCACCGGGGGG